ATATCTCCGGCTCGTGATCTCTTCTGCCGCGACGTATAACTAGCAGTGTGTCCGTAACGAGTACTTCGAAATTACACTTGCCAAGGTAAAAGATAACGAGGATCTCTTCGAGCCTGTGGTAACTCGATATAGCGTGTTAATATGGACACTCTAGTCACGAATCGATCGGGTTTGCTCGATCGTCCAACTTAGCGTTGATACTCGAGAGACGCGAGAGCAAGTTGTGTCTGCGATCGACATCCTTACGGGGTCGACTCTCTCAGAAAGGGGATCATTGAAATTCTCGGCTTTTTAATTGTAAATTAGAACCACGGCCACTTGTTAAATATAGACTTGTTATCGAGCCAATTTTTGCTTATTCCTCGAATAATACTCGTATCGCGATCAATTAATAGATTGTTGCTTCATCGTGTAATAAGTATCGATTAAGTGTCGAAATGTAATTTACTTTAAACTATTACTTGTTTTAAATCATAGCGAAAATGTTTACGTCATAGACCTACAAATTGATTCTTTTTTTCTTTCCTTAATTGATTGTCCGATCGATCAAGCGAAAACGATGATCGAAGAAGAGTCTTCCTGATAGGTTCGTTCTTCTCGCGTTCTTCTCAGGTTTAAATGTAATCCATTTGCATCGATGAAATTGCACTTTTCTCTTCTTATAACATTCACACAAACGCGATCACTACGTGAACCTTTGTGGAGCCCGAAGAAGAGCGACACTCTATTGCACCGCGCATAATCAAACGAATCCACCATCGATCTTCCCGTACACTGGAGCTCTCCTCGAAAACGAAGGGAAAGCGCGATGAGGAAAAACTCAAGTGAAAAACCACTTAGCTGTTGAGCGTCGTCGGCGGTATACGACGACGCCTCATGGCGACAGGCGACCGCGCTCCGCCGCGGTCATGATGGTGTGGCCATGGTGTGTAGGCATCGTTGATGGCCCGTTTCGAACTGAGAAACCCGCCGAGAGGAGAGAGAGCTATTCCCGTTCCCATAGCACGTGGCTACTCTTTCTCTCTCCCTCCCGTCGCCCCTTCTTCTGCCTTGGTCTCTCGTGACCCTTCGCGATCCCCTTCCTTCACCGTTGGCGTCCCCCCGTCACTTTCCCGTTTGCCTCCCAACCCCCTTCGGCTTACCACGGCTTCCCCATGCAGATGCACGCTCCTTCCCTTCTCCCCATCTCTCTCTCGCTCCCTCCCTCCCTTTCTCTCTTATTGTTCCTTTCCCCATAGTAGTGCTCTCTGGTGCCATCTTTCTCTGTCGAATTATTCGTCCTTCTCTTTCTTTCTTTTTCTCTATCTATTTTTTCCATTCTCCGTCCCTTTTCTTCTCCTTCAGATACACCCTCGCATAATCTGTCCTTGTTCCTCATTCGTATCTCTTTCTCTTTCTAACAGCAATCTGGTTTTATCCTTTCTCTCTCTCGTTCATTTGAGCTAGCAGCCTCTCCGGAGCCCGCTCTCCGGTCCCCTACCTTTTCGTCGCGTTACGCAGCCAGTCGATGGCGGACTCAGTCTTCCGCAGGAGTCGACCAATGCCGGCGGCATGCTCGACGGATTTTTAAACCATTTTTATGTTAATGCCCCGTGCACGATATATTCGCGTACATGTGTATTATACGGTATGTTTCACAGGCACACTGTGCACACTTTCGACAAGGCATGCGAGTGTATGTATCAGGCGGAAAATTATGAAGTAAAGACAAAATCGAGACTCAAAAACTTGACAATAGAATGACAGCTTTCGTTATAACCTACACGATATTTATTATGTTTTTTAATAAAAATTATTCAACTATTTTTCTATTTCTGTTAAAGTAAGAGAAGAAGCACAAGAGAAGAAAATTCTCAACGATTCGAATTCCATAATCTAGAGAGCGGTCTATAACGTGCCCACACTGGATTAGGTAGGATATGACGGGGTATAATGGAGCATTGTTAATATGTTAATGTACAGCCCGCCTAAGAACTCAAGCGTTGCGTGTTTCGCGTTTCTTCCGCTTGAAGAATCGTTATGCGCTCCATTAGGCCCAGGCTCGAGTCCCCTTTTGTCCAAGAGATTTCTCTTTCGACGTTTCCGTCATCTCGATTAGCGATCCGCGTACCATTCGACAGTTTTGCAGTGCAAACGAACACATTCCTCAATTTCATTTTTGGAGCACGGGATGGAAACTCGGAGTAAAATAAAAACCTAGAACGGGTTTAAAAATAGCCATGTAAGTTCACTTATTATCCGAAATATAATGAATTTAATTCGACTAATTCAACGAAGGTATCTTTAAATTAACTGTAAGATATATCTCGTTATTAATTTAAATAAAAGCAATATTAATAAAAAAAGCAAAAAGCGTTATTAATAAAAAAAAAACGCAATAAATGACGTTCTGTCAATAGCGAAAGTACGCAGTTTGAAAATATTGACAACTTTTGTCATGTGACGTGTTCGCCGTATAAAAGTATTTGCACATAAAAAATGTTTTGTCGTAACCGTAAATTCGTAAGAAAATCGACTAATCGCAGTTGATTACTCTACTTGCGATCAAAGAATAATCGACTGCGATTGGTCAATTTTCTTACGGACTTATGATTAAAAATTTATTACGTATAAAGGCGTTAAAATACTACTTCGTGGTATGGTTGCATGCACTGCGATTAATAAGAATGTAGAGTCAATTGTTCTTGGAGTAGCCTCTTCTTGGAGTAGTCTATTTAACATCACACTTTTGAAAAATTGAATATTCTTGGGGTCGGTTTTTTGTTTCTATACTGGTTGCACTAGCTTGCATTAGTTCTTCTTTTCTCTCTTTCCCACTAAAGATGAAGAAAGAGATGAAAAGAGAATTAGTGCAAGCTAGTGTAGCCAGTACAGGAACAAAAAACAGACCCTTGGGAGGTGGATATATCTTATTTGCATCTTACTTATTTTTCGTCTGTTTCAATTGTTATGTTAAGGCAGATTTATTCTACGAGACAAGAGTAAAATAACAAAAAGCCGCTGTTACTTACTTTAGTTATAGAAAAGATATTGGTATTCGAAAGAGGCAGTCTCTCAGCTATTGATGTATAGTGGACACAAAGATTGTTACATTTTTTTTTGGAACGTAACTCGTACCCAATAGGAGAATTTGTTTCTTAGTTATTTTTAGGAGATACATTTTCCTATTGAATGCGTCGCGAAATTCATAAAAAAGTGTAACAATCTTTCTATTCATATAGCACAGAAGCTTGCAGCAACATTGCTGCAACGTTGCACTCAAGCTTCTATGCTGTATGTGTGCCTATCACTGTACATAAATATATAAAATGACAAAACTGTGCTAAATGCATGCTGTTTGCAGTGCTGTTTGAATGAATGAGAGTTCTATTCTAAAGATTTTTCTTCGAAGGTGTAGATATAAAATGCACATTAGCAGTGTCTATGACGAATAGTGAGTATGCTATATCTCATATGAGATCTCGTCTGATATTCTTATTCTTTTGTAACAATTAGAGAGGTATCCAACATATGATTATTAGTATTTAATGACGCCTAATGTGTTGTCGTTGAAAGTAAGAGAGTGTTACATTATTTGAAAAGTAAAAATTCATTCGACTTGTCGTCGAGTCGTACCACAGCCTCGTTTAGTTGGTAGAAACCATAGATATGTAAAGTAGATTGAAGTCCGACATAGTAAAAGAGAGCAATGCAGTGCTTTCCTTGTTTAACTCTGTAGTTGGTGAAGAGAAAGAAGAAGGAGAAGCAACATATGGTTACACAGTTATTATGAATTACAAGTACACACACAGATATTAATAATTACAAATACACACATCGGTATATTATTTGTTACATAAACAAATACATATTATTCCTCTCTTTCCTTCTCCATGTTCGTTCTCACTCTTCTGTTTCCTCTACATCGCCGCCTCCTACAGTAACTGACAAAGAAAGTACGACTACTAACATATTTCTGTCCTTCGGTCTTCAGCTCTCCAATGACAATACTCAATCTATTCTATATGTCTATAATAGAAACAATGGCAACTCGTAGCGGAGATTTTGAAATTACAGTCGATCTGCTCGAATCCGCGGCTAACGGCCACCTAGTGTCATCTAGCGGTATCGTGGAGAAACTCTTCCTATCAAATTGGTCTGTGTCTCGACTAAAGGTTCGAGTCTCAGCTAAGTAAGGTCTAGTCTTGGCTAAGACTGACTTTTAATTTAAAAGTAGTATACGACACAAAATGTGGCGGTAAATGATGTTTTTACTCTTTAATGACCAAATAGCGTGTTGGATAAACTTTAGTCTCTGCTTGCTAGTTACTGATAAGTACGTTGAATACGTTGACGTTTAAGCAGTTAATAAATTATGTGAGAGTGACAATTAAAATAAGATAACATTTTTCTATTCACTTTTACTCTTATTTTATTGAAATAGCTACGAGTGTACTTTTAATTTGAATATTTTGGATAAATTCCATAAAATAACAACTGGTACAACTGGTATAGGCGTCGGTAGCCTATCAATTGTGGATCCCCATTTAACCGACGTTTTACCGTACGGAAGACTTGCCATGTAAAATGATTGATTTCGAGAGATCGAAGGTTCAGTAAGACTTACACATCACCTGCTATCGATACAGTCGAAAGTTTATTACAACGATTTCAGAAGGAAAAGTCGGGGTTCAAAATCTTAAGACCTATACATCCGAAGACCCAAAATGTCAACGCGACCTAGTTTAGAAATTCGGAAGTTTAAAAAGATACGTACAATCTTGGAGTGTTGTGTTTAAGGATATCCAAACTTTCTCTACAATTTGAAGATCGAAAATCGTTTGCATAAAAATTCAAGAATCTGAAAAATCAAAACTTACACCTTTCGCGAAGAAACATTTCCAGAACCTGAAAATTTAATCCTCAAGTATTCTAAGAGTTACAAATTTTCTTGTTTTACAACGTCATACATTCGTCATCGTTATCAGCGATCTTTCTACGAAAGTCTGAGACCCACTCACCTAGGCATGTCCTGCAACTGCTTGGCTCGCTGTTTGTAGCGCGACAGGGCGAACAGTAGGGCCAAGATCGGCCACAGGGTTGATCCTGCCGCCAATTCGGCCGGATTCACAGTGCCCACGTCCGCTCCCAGGGCCCGCAGTGCACCCACGCACAGACTCACGTTCTCGACCTGCGCAATACACGACGGAACGGGTTTCTCATTGATCATTTTCCGACGTTGGATGCGGTTTACGCGTTTCGCTTTTTTTCTTTTATTTTCTTTTAACGCGCGAAATAACCATCGACTAACAAATCCAAATCCGGCACATTGGTAGCAAACGGTACAAAGGCCCGAGCTCTTGGCTTCCCACATATACGGTGCATGGTGCGAAACACAACGCGAATGAAACGTGACCGTCGTGACCGTGACTATCTTGTACGCGTGCCGATCAGCCTCTCTCGTTTCTATTGTTTCCGGCTAGCTTTTGCATGGGAAACGACCCGCACCACCACAGGGTAGCGCGAAACACAGTAAGAGAGCAAAGCGGAAGTAGTTTGCATGTATCTAATCAAAAAGTCCATTATGATTTCAGCAATCCGAGAGTGTTAACGAGAAGACGGGATCAAATTACATGGATAAATCTTATTCGAACATTTTCAGAGTTTTATATCGATGAAATTGGAGATACGATTACATGCATGCGGATGAAATGATGGTTAATGTAAAAGAAACATTCTCGAAAAATAAAAATTTGGTAAAATGATGCATAATCTGCTACTCGTTTATGTCTATCAACCTTAAATTAGAATATGAATTTCATTAAAAAATGCCAATCTGTTCTAATTCTTTAATAACGAAATAGGAATATGTCAATGAGAGCTGATAGATGGGTTTTTCTAAGCGATAGTTATCGAGCGTAAATTCGTATATTTGAGAATCGAATCCTCATCACGATCCTCATCACGATTAATGGAAAAGAACTATATTCGACAGGAGCTGAAAACCTTAAAAGGCAACGTTCTTTTGTAGTCAACCTTACCAGTTTCAACTTGTTCATGCGAGATGACAGCCGTAAATGGTGACGGCACTTTTTAATTCAATCCGCTATCTCGTGCAGGTCGCAGCATGATCATCGAAAAAGAGTGTCACTGATGAAGAATCGTGAATGTTCGGATCATGCTTTATGGCGCGGTCTTTTCGGCACAAATTCTTGCTTGTTTTGTAATTTTATTTTGTTATTTTGCCAATAAGTCGATTCAAGCCTTGTATTCAAACTTACGATAACGATGATCCAAGATGACGTAATTTACAATTTGCGGTGAGAGAGATATACATTCGTCTACATATATGTTCAAATTCACGCACATGAAAGAAAATCTGGACTTTTTATTCTAATACGATGCAAGACAAACCTTAATTGAACGTTCTTATTTTATTTGTATATTTATTCTATTCTATTTGTGTATATCAGAGATGACAATAACTGAAATTTAGAAAAGAACGACAAGAAAGTTGGTACAGAAATAATCGTGCAATTGGAATTGATTATTCACGAGCGATAAGTACTCGAGAAGGTGGTTTCCTGCGAAATGCTTCTGAGACGTACTCGTAGGTCTGCGGTCCCAGAAGGACAGGATTGGAAGGAGAAGAGTATAAGAAAAAGGAAAAGAGAGAGAGAGAGACAGAGAGAAGGGGAGAGGGAAGGGGAAGAGAAAGAGGTCGGGGTCCAGAGATGGCGAAAGATGTCCTCTTATGGTAGCGTCTTCGCTTCTGCAGTTCTTGAGGAGGAAAACGAAGAAGAGAGGAGTGCCACTACGGAAAGGACTCTCATTTTCTTCGTCTCATCCTCTCGCCTTCTCGAGATCAAATAATGAAAATGACGCCTTGTTTCTTCATGCACTAAAGTAATCATGTAGAAATGTAGAAAAACTTGGAGCAGAATGTATCAAAGATAAATTAATTGCTATTAATTTTTGATACATTCTGTTTACTTTAGTGGTGCTCCTCTCCTCTTTTTTGTTTTCTTCCTAAGTTATTGTAAAATTTAGTTAAAGGCTGTCTCACGTTTATATAACTTTAATTATATTATGCTACACGCGTGCAGGATTAATTGAAGCGATGAATCCTCCAAAAAGATAATTCAAATAACATATATATATATTTTCTATTAAAAATACTCATTTATGAAATTTCTCTTTCGGGTCGATAATGTAAAGGCAATGTAAAGGCAATGTAAAGCTAACATAAAGGGAAATTATGATCTTTAATGACAGATGTTGACAGACATACGTGACGTCCACAATGTGCGAAAACTGTAAGAAAGCACGCATCTTTCTTATATCTTCCGGAAGCGCCACGACCTCGCTGGTAACGGACGATACGAACGGACAAATAGATGACTTATTTTTAGACGACTCGTGCCTTCCGGACTTTTTCTGGCTAATGGCTAAACAGTCGTCGCGCTTATCTGCCGTGTATAGAGACGAGCTTTTCTTGTCGTGGAGCCATGTGCGTTCGCTGTTGCATCGCGATTAAATATCAAAGAATTGGCAGGAGTCGTATTGCGCGGAATATATTGCCGTTTGTCACATATAAAAATAAACAACATCCGAGAATTTTAAGGTGGAGATATTACATAATACTCCACTCACAAGTAGACCAAAAGTCCAATGACAAAAAGTCCAATGACATGGCTCGGAGAGAAAATGACACGGCAATTCTTTTCAAAGATAGAAGCGAGATTTGATTTATTGCAAAAATGTCGATTCATGTTGATCAAACGAACTTATTTCTCTGTATAAATATCCGCTATATTTTTCTTCACAATTCCTATTATTCATGTTTACCCGTATAACGATAACAGCGATGGTGCAATGAATTATTATTATAATTTGTTAAATATCCTAGAATGTAATCGGCTACAATTTGAATCAATTAAATGGAGGAGGAACCGCAAGTGTAACGATAATCGAGTAATGTAATAATTCTAACCGGTATGTAGTGCATAATATTTCGCAATATATAAAACGAGTTAGATACTAATAATTGGTAAAGACATGGAAATTCGTCCGTAAATAAGCTTGCGCGATTAAAGACGAATGTTCGTGGATTGCGGAATTCGGGGCAAATTTCTTTGAAATCTCATTGACAGTGACGACTGAGAGTGCGTGGAAGAGCGAAAGGGATTCCTCGCGAATCTAACCTGGTTTTCCAAGACACCTTCGAGAGACGTGCGAAATCGTCCGAAAACAGTTGAACGCGGCAGACATGCCGGAAATGGTTGTGGCAGGTGGACCGACGCTCGTTAAGACTTGCAATTAACCACGACCCCCACAGCTTCTGCGACGAAACGAATTCAGCTAGGTCAGTCTAATTGACTTCACTCGTCAATTTGACTAAATTCGAGATAAAATCAGGTGCCACACCTGTGGTACAAATTTACGAAAACTTGGGATAATGTATGAAAATATCGCAGCTCAAGCTTACTTGAATATTTCTTTTCTTTTTTCCCTGTTTATATTTACTTTGAGAAACGACATTTTTCAATAAGCATGTATAATATATAATCAAATATATAATATATAATATAATATATAATCAATAAGCATGTATATATATATATATATATATATATAATATATAATTTAAAAAAAATCGAGAGAAAATTCTTTTCTTCTTGAAAATATGTGCAATTATTCGAGATTCTGGAAATGAAATCTGGAACATATGGAATGTTGACATTAAAAATTTCATTTATCGAGTTGCACGTGAAAAAGAGAAAAGAGAAACTGATTTGGCTGGATTAAATTGCGATGTAGCCTAAACAGCTTTGAGTAAACCAAGTTTCATAGAGCGTTACATATAGACGTTAATCGTTTGCTTCGCAACATTGTCACGAGGGGATTTAATTAACGGCGCAATATCGCGTAATCCATTCGCGGACTTTTCGGAGGACTCGAGAGGTCGACGGCCCTTTTGTTCGAGGCGAGGAAAGAAAGAGGCTCTGCGGGCGAAGCGTGGCGGATCAATTTCACGATTAGTACAGATTACCGTTTGCTCGTGGGCTTTAATTAAAAGCATTGCTGAGAACGTGGTCCAATTTAGCCAGAGCGAATTTCTCGCCAAGGAATATGATTCGTTCCTCGTCGTTGAAAGGATCGCGAGAAAATGAATAGTGATTTTCGTTTTAGAGCATATACGATCAGATATTGGGCGACATATAAACGAGCTCTCGAAGAAAGCGTAGAATCAAAGAATTCGATTGCATCGCGATTTTGTCGCGATCTGTCAGGTCCGAAGTAAAAAAAAAAAGAAAAGAAAGAAAAAAGAGGGAAAGCCGCAATTTCGACGAAATTCCGAGTCACCCGATGTAACTCGATAGGGCCCCAAACATGCCGGGTTAATGGTTACAACGACTGCCAGAATTCGCAGAATGTATAACGGGAGCGCGATAATCTGCAGCGAAAAAAGAGATGGACGAGTCGAAAAAAGAAATCGAAGCGACTTGGAGGAAGGACGATCTTGTATATAATCATACGGTATCCTCGGCAATGCGCATTTATTCGCATCGACCGATCGTGACGAACGTCAATTCAACGGCGATCAAAGAATCGGAAATCGTGAGAGAATTTCAGTGCGGCGAATTTAAGAGCGGCGAATGAGATCGTTTCGTATGCCGAGGGCTCGAGAGAGGCTCGATTAAGAAGAATTCACGGCATGTTGTCATCGTCGTCGCCGATTAACGACCGCTTTATTAACTGCGCGCGAGCGTCGTCGTTTTGACTGACAACGGCCGTTCAATTTTATGAGTTAATGAGCTCGTCGTCCAAGCTCGCTCGTCGTAAGCGACACACACAGTCGACCTTCTGTGATTTCGACGGTCCGTTACTTCGATTTCCATATTCGATTAACCGAGTCCCGAAATTCACAGGACTCAAACTTGATTGGCAAGACATCTCGCTAGGAATACCGATCGATTGGAAATGTAAAAAGCGTTACCATTCGCAAAAAATCGACTTAGAATCAATCAAAGTAATATCGACAATTTAGTAAAAAAAAAAAACATCTTCAGAGAGGATGCTCGTACGAGAGGTTGATTGTGAGTTCTCGTTGAGGAGCAGGACGATTAATTGTCGCGTCGCTCTCGACGTATCTCTTTATAAACTTCACCTAGCTATTAATATATAAAA